GCCCCGTGGGGGGACGTTGTTTTTTAACGTCTGCGTTCCGTGATGTATTTTCAGGAGAAGGAGGGAAGCGGAGCCGGGCAGGGGCTGAGGGCTCGGCCCGCAAAGGCGGGGTGAGCCGGCGCTGGCCTGGGGGCTGCCCCGACCCGCTGACGGGGCTGCGGCTTGTTTCTGTGAGGCTTTTCCCGCGGAAAATAAGTGTCGGTAAGCGGCCCCGCGTCGTGACGTGGAGCTGATAACCGGTGTTTGCACTTTCTGTCAAGAAAAGGTAACCCAGAGACCGCCCTGTGTGCGGCTCTGGGGTGTGGGCACCTGGCGGGGGCTCCCACGCTCCTGTGGGGGTTTCAGCATCGAAGTTCCCCTGTCTGTGTGTGTGTGGGGGTGTCGTCTGTGTGTGTGTGTGTGGGGGTGTCGTCTGTGCGGGGGTGTCGTCTGTGCGGAGGTTTCTGTGAGAGGGAGCAGAGACGTGGCCCGGTTCTCGGGTGTTGGAGTGAAGTCCTGTCATGTCCCCTCCCAGAGGACTTCGGTAGCTGTTGTTACTGGTAGCTCTGCTTTTCCTTGAAGACTTAACTGGGTTTTGTTGCTCAATACAAAGAAAAAGGGATGATAAAGTAAAAAAAAAAAAAAAAAAGTTGTTCCCCTTGAATTGTCTTGTTCTGCCAAGCTGGGAGAGCAGTGCTGGTACGCTTGGCACTGCAGAGTTAAAAAGACTTTGGATTAGAGAGCGCGGTCATCTCTTAACTCGGTCTTCTCTGTTTTTTATTTTTGCTCCTGCTGTTCCTCCAGACATGGACGAAGAAGGCAACAGCACCAGCCTTGAGGTACGATATGCTTTGCTGTTATTTTTGGACATATTTATTTCCCTATTAGTATTTCCAGAAGCTGAAAGCTACTGTACCCAATTTGATAACATTTGGGTAATGTCTTTAGATGGAGTGCTTTTACTTTGAAAGAACCTTTCCTGATAAGAGTTTTATCCTTCCAAAAATTTCAAGATTGGTCCCATTTTTTATGTGTGTATGTTTTTATTTTTTTAATTTATTTTTTTTTTTACTTTAAACCATTCACGTTCTGCTTCGTATTCTAAGCTGTTAGCAGAAGGATACAATTTAAGCACCTTTTGCTTCAACAATATGTTCGATAGCCTAAAGATGGAAGAATTGTGGAATTCTCTGGCAGCTAGCTCTCCTTGAATTTGTTCTTAGTCATAAATAAGAAACTCATAGTCCAACAAGGCATGTGGTGCTTTTCATAGTACTGAAAGGCAAGGCCCATGGTAGGAAATAGTTCTTCTCAGAACTAAAAAATACATATAACCTACTTGTACACAGTTAAAACGTCTTCTGTGAAGATCCAGTGCCTGGAGTCAAAACAGGCACGTGGACCTCTGTGCTTGTGAGCTACAAGGAAGTCTGGTGTCTTGGGCAATCCCAATTTAAAGGCCTTGCTTTCAGTGCTGATAAGCGTTTTCCACCCCTCCCTAGATGGGGTATGTCTCACTGTTTGCCTTTGATTGCAATGTGAAAAGTTGTTAAACTCTCAGCAGAGCTGCTGGTTCTGTGCTTGGGACTCTGGATGACTGACAGCATTATTGAGGTAGCTGTATATTTTTGTTAATTACTGTTAATTCCTATTTTCTTAATGAAATTTCAGCATCATTGGAAAAAGCAGGCAAACGCTATTTATGCCAATACATGCTCTTAGCATATCACTGCTCCGTTTTCTGATGACGGAGGGTCTTTTCAGGTTGTTCCACATGTGTTTTGTCTCCAGTAATTGTTTGAGGGTGTGTAAGGCACCTGTGAAGTCCTTGAATTTTGGTGCTGGCTGTAGCCCACCTAAGAGAGGTCCTGCAGGCTTGGGCTGATGGGTGGGCCCTGTAGAACTGATGACTTCACTGTGACCTCATACCTGTCTCAGATGCTGCCATGTAACTATAACTGCTTACATGTCTCAAGCATCTGTAAGGTTGCAACCTATCTGCTCGCTTTCTCTGCTTTTCCGAAAGGGTTTTCAATGCTTGAAAAGATACCCAGCAGCGTATGCGGGGGGAATATCATGTTTTCACCCGTGTTTGTGAGAAACCTTGCAAGAACTTCTCCGTTTTTCTTGGAGGTCTGAATTTCTTCTTTCCCTCATTGTTTTTCTGTATTGGGGCATGAGGGCTCAGCGTGCGCATGTGTGTTTTAATTCTTTTGCTCATGAATTTGTGCCTTCTCCCATGTAGCAGCAACGTGACTGTCAGTTGGCAACTACTATTTTCGATGTTATTTGAGATCGTACAGGCCTGGATAGCAGCAGAACTCTGCGTGTCCCTGACGCTGTCAAGGGGAAATAAATTAAGTGACCACAATAGACTTATACCAAGAACTTGCTGTATTTTACCAGAATGTGTTGTATTTGTTGCTAACAGATTTTCAACTTTTTTTTTTTTTTTTAAATTCTTATGACTTTCCACTAAATCCCACTAATAGCAGTCTGATAATAATAATGATAGAGTTAGTTTGACTAATGTTGGGAAGGTAAATTGTAGATATGCTGCGTTAAAGCAACCTAAGAAGACGAATTTAAGACAGCGATCTGTTTGAGTTGACTGGTCAGGCAGGAGTTCTATTTGCGCTGTAGAACTGGAACGAAGTTCATGAGAGAGACTAGTTTGGCGACTGCCGGCGTGCACTTCATTTCTCTCTTGGTGGTGAAGCTAAATTAAGAGGTCATCCAGATCTGGGACTGAGGGCAAAAACTGGGACCAGAACTGTGTGTAGTACTTAAGATTCAAGTACCTGTGAGGCTTCAGGACTTACAGGGGGACGTATCTGTCCTCGTACTTGGTTGTTTCCTGCTTGTTCCAAATATTTGGTTTCCTTTTTTCCCCCTGTTCTGGTAAGTTTTGAGCTGGCATTTGTGAGACTATTGTACCTGCCAGATTTTTTTCCTGACTAACAGCAGTCGGCACAGGTCCCAGGACTGTATACCCGAGGCTGGAGCTATTTCCCATGGGTGTAATTTTCTTTTTATGGTGAATTTAGTCTGCTGTTTTATGACTTATTTTCTTAGTCTCATAAAGTCCTTTGCATTCAATTCTCGTTCTTGTTGCTCTGAATAATGTAGAATCATCAAAGAAAATTATCACCTCACTGTTTGACCCTGTTTTAGGACTATTTAGGAATGCATTGAACTGACACCAACGTAGAACTCCGCTAATGACCCCTCTCCACTGAACGTCTTGTGTTCGCAAAGCGGGCTGTAGTTGAAAGAAAATAAAATCAAGTTGCGTTGTATGTGCCCGACCAGGCATTGAGATGTTTTTATGGAGGCTTTTTGCCAGTTGTGGGAAACTAATTTCACCTTCCTTTTGGTGCTAGGCTGTGTTACCAGCAGGTAGAACACGAATTCTTCAGTTTGTAGAAGACAGAATACAGACTACTATGGTAATGTATAGCTTTAATCAACTGGATGACAGATTGTGTGTGTGTAAATAGCGTGTAGCTTCTCGTAAGTTCTAGGAACCCCACTAGGTCACAGTCAAAGTCTGAGTGTTTGTTTCTTCGCTGTCGCTGTGCATGAGGCAGGAATTAATTCCTGTTATTTCATCCTGTGTAAAGTTGATCAGCTCGCAGATCTTGGGGGGAAAAAATGCTGAATATTTTGCATGTGAGCTTATGAGTGAGATACTGATGTAGTTTAAACTTCTTGAATGTGTGATGTTTTAATTAAAAATTAAGTGTTTATGAATGTACTTGACGTTTAGACATCTTGCTGAGCTAAGTGTTCTTCAGCCTTCCAAAAAGTACTTAAGGTTTCAACTTTAGAAGTTACTAAGTTCTTTCCCCTCTAAATTCCTCTCACAGCTGACGGGAATTGCAATTGGAGCTGCAGTCGCATTATTGCTTATAGCGATTGTTGTCTTTGTCGTTTTCAGAAGATTGAAACAATCTAGTAAGTACTCAATAACTGTTTCAAAGCCGTTTTCTCACTTATCTTCAGTATTTTTGTAACAATATGTGGCAGATTCTGTGCCGATTTGTAATTGCTTGCTGTGAAGGCAGTGATTCTTGCAGGAAAACAGCTTTAAAAGGATGAAGAACTTGTGTTGATTCATTCACCCAGGTCTCAACATAGAATTCATAACTGTCACATGCAGGATGCTGGAGGTTTTTATTTCTCTAGTGTATGATAGCCTTAGTATCAGTTGGCATGCAAATCATTTCAACCCTGCTGTGATTTCCCTGTTATAGTAATGAGAAATGGGTGAATTAGAGGTTTCCTTTGTGAGATTAAAATTACCTCATCCTTGTATCTGTTTAGAGAGCCTTTTTATCTCCTTCAGTGATTAGGTAGAGCCTCAAGCCAGCTCTTCCCTAGTCTGGCGTGGCTAACCAGAGTTGGATAATGAGGTGTCTTGTGTTGGTTGAAATTCCAAACGCTGGCCACAAGAGCTTGCTGCTTACTGGACAGGAGCCACAGCTGTTATGGAGGTAGCAAAATTGACAGCCTGTGCCCATGTTGCCCTTAGCCTAGAGCTGCAGATGGTTTCTGATGTGATGCTTCTCTTTTTCAGAACAACTTCAGCCACATGTGCCTCAGTACAGATTCCGCAA